CTTGCAAGTTTGAAGCTTATTATTTTCTGATATGGTAATTTAGTGGTGACTAATTTTCAGTCCTGAACTGCTTAGTATGTAATTGCTACTACAGTGTCAATATAGTAAATTGACTGGAATTTTAAATATTGACTGTGATTAGGTTTCTCTGTCAGGGTTATTTGTTGAATTCGGAAAACTTTATTGTTATGTACTAATGTACTCCTAGTAAAATAGTGTTTAGCTGTGCAAATCCACTCCCTAGCAGAAGTGCAAATGCATAATGGAAAAAAATGTAATTCGTCCCATTTTACTGGAGAGAGAACTGTAATACTCCGTAATAAAAAAAATTGATGAATGTATTGAGCATTTTATCTATCATCTCATGTAGGACTACAAGATTTGATTCAAATTGAGTCAGGCATTTAGATCATTTTTTGTGGCATATTTAATCAGTTTATTGTGCTTGAGAAGCTTGTTCAATTAATTTAATAGATAATCTTCTTCAACGAAGTGTTGCTGCTGAAGTCATAGATTAGAACCTCAATAGAATTGTAAGAAAGTTAGAGTGGAAGACTTCTCTGGATGCACAAAATTGGAAATAGTAGTGAATGTGTGGTTTTTGTGGTTTTTCGATTGAGATCAAGGAGCTTAGCCGAGAGCTGTAGCCAAGTTCTAGGGCCTAGCTAGGGATAACAAGAGATTGATCTAACATCTACACTAATTTTGACTCTCTTCATTTTTCTATCTGACGACTCATTAGTTCTTGCTTTTTCTGTTCCCTTCCTCTTTCTGGTTTTTCTTTTCTTGATGTTCATGTGCAAGTGCAACGTATAGTCTTCTTTTTAGAATGAATGACTGATAAAGTTGGCTAATTGCTTCATAGTTTTTGTTTGTTTTTGTTTTAATCTATTTGGTTTTTATTGGTCTCTAATCCGTATAGCTTCAATAATAAAACTGATATCTGTATCAGTAATAAGCGTATCCCTTTAACTATCGACCTAAAACATTGCAATTTCACCTCTGTAAATAAAAAAAATTTAGACTTAGATCTTCTATTCCCCTTTTATAGCTATGTTAAAGAATGGCCAAATGAGATGACACGGAAATAACTTCCCTTTAACCCACACCCCTCATTCCTTGTAAATGTCAATGTGATACAAATGTCCTCATATATGCCTACAGTAATGGACTGATAGATATAAGTTAACTCATATAAGTAGGGATAAATATATGGAATCAAGTGCGAAATATTTGTAATCAACTGCTTAACTTATAGATATGCCAGCCATAGTCACCTTACTCACCTAAATCGCGGCACGTTTCGGTACAAGTACGCGGTGCGGGTACGAAATTTGCTAGAGGTGACGAATTCGGTATGAAGGGGGATAGGTTCATTTTGGTATGAAGCCGTTCGGTGCACCATTTATTCGGTTCGGTGTACCAAAAGTCAAAACATAAGTAAACAAAAATAGATAAGATGAGCATAAGTGCATAACATTACTAAATCCAATAGATGAATAGAACATCAACTAAAATATTCTAATCTACTCGTTGCCTTTTTCCTCTCCCATTGTCAAAGCCTTCATTATCAAGGTCTTTCCAAACCATTTCTTCAAGGTGAGCACTTGAACCTTCTATATATGCATTTTCAGGATTCACGTCCCACTTTTTGTGAGGGCCTGATTTGTAGGAATCAGAAAAGCATGATTGAAGTCGAATATTCGAGTGAATAAACACAAGTTTATCGGCTCGCTTGCAATTTAAGCGATTCCTCTTGACATTATGGATATAGGAGTATGTTCTCCAATTTCTCTCCGCCAAAGAGCTACTAATTGGCTAGGCAGCGAATTCTATGTCTATGATGCCAGCATCCATCGATTTATGCCTACAGTACGTGGATATAACTAGAGATATGGGAATTCAGACGACAGTATAGTATACTTAACTGATGCAACCTCTATCCCAAACAAGAGTTTAGTTTGATCAAAGTACAATTTTAAACCTTTTAAATTTTGGTAAGGTACAACTGGTAGAACATCATAAATCATATTTAGATTTTTAAATTTCATTGGTTGGCTTCCTAAATTTATCCCATGTAGCAAATTACATGAATAATCAGCTTTGGTTGATCCAACTTGACTCTTTTTCTGGATAAGAAGTGTCTGAAACATGACTCATTTTTTGGAACCAAGGGAGTAGTTGCGTTGCTACATCTGTAGTGCGACCATGTTATCGTATTTCTAGTCATTACAAAATGTTCAATTCTTTGTCCGGAATATGAACAATGAATAATGTCTGCCAATTAGGGATGCATAACCTTTTGCAGATGTTTGATAATTATTTGAATTAGGAAGGCTTTCACAATACTATTTATTTTGATTGATTTTGAAATTTGTTGGATGATATGGTTGAAAGACTTGAGTGTTTTTGCAGATGAGAGATGCTTTAGATCCAAAGAAGCACTATAAAAAAGGCGCTTCAAAATCTAAAGCACTTCCCAAGTATTTCCAGGCAAGTAGATTGTGGACTTATGTATTCTACACTATCACATTACAGTACAACCTTATTCTAGCATTTAAAAATGAGTTATGTCTGTTGGATCAGGTGGGTGTTGTGATAGAGCCCGCATCAGAATTCTATTCCAGTAGACTTACCAAGAAGGAGAGGAAGGCAACCCTTGCAGATGAACTGGTTTCTGATGCCCACCTTGCGGAATATAGGTAAGCTTGAGGAAAAAAATGGTTAATTGGTTTCTATAGTAATTGAGGAGAAAGAGCTCTAAAACTTAATCTGAATGGAATGAAATCTGCCCCCATACTAATATTCCTATTTGAACACGTTTACTAATAAAAGTGAGATTGTATCGCTGAAATTTATTTTTTTAAAAAAGAAAGAGTAACATCAACCACACTTTTCTTAGAAGGAAATAGGAAGATTATTTAGAGAAGGAACAAAAGGAAAACAAAAAGATTAATTTGGGACGGAAGAAGTACTTAACAAATTGAAGAAAACACGTAAAGGTGAGAACACACAAGCACTGAGATTCTCAGTTGCAATTTCTTCATTGTGTTCTTTTCGTACTGCACCATGAAACAAAAACAAACAAAAAAACTAAAGGCTAACATGCTTTGAATTTTTTTTCATAGGAAGCGCAAGGTTAGGGAGATTGAAGCACAAAGGCGGCCACATGTTGTGGCTAAGTGGAAGCACAAAGGCAATCAGTCGGGGAGGCGTACAAAGCCAAAGCGGCATTGATCAGACCAAACCTTTGCTGCTCTGATGAGCTTAAACTTCATGGCTTTGATTTGACCTGGACAAGTTATATAGAACTTGTTTTGCCTATGGCTTCTGTTATGATGTGCCCTAACTTCACATCAAACAGGTGAATTTTTTGTCTCTAAAAAAATACTTAGGAGTTTGTTTTAGTTGTACTGTTGTTTTAACTCCATATATTAGACACTTGATATGTTTTCCTCTGTAATAAAGTACTCCTGTCCCAAAAAAGAGTGAATGCTTTATTTTTTAGATGTTCGTGCCAATTTGTTGTGCCTCTTTTGTCTTATAAAAGCATTACCCCTCTATACATAATGAATAAATCTATTTGTATCCCAAAGATTGTATTGCAAAATTCACCACAAAAGTTTACGCTTATGTTTTGCGTCAATGTAAGTGTGAATTTAATGGCTTACAGTGACAAAAAATGACAGTGTAAAATTTTGCGATCAGACATTTAGTGTCAATGTAAGTGTAAGGCTTTGGGGAATATTTTGAGTGCACCTGGCATGGTTGATACATGATTCACATGGTCAAATGGTCAAATCACATCTTTTTTTCTTTCACATATTTCCATGGGGCATATGATAAAATCAAATAGTCTACTCCTTTTTTGTTTTGTAATTATGATATAATTTCAAAATACATAAATTTATTTTTTATCGGAATGCATCTCGCGCTATAGGAATAGAGGGGGCTTGTAGTTTAAAAGATTCTTCATATATATGGAGTATTTTACTCTGTAATATTTTAATTACACAATTTTTATATTATTAAAAGTTGTGTTACTGGACATTTTTTTATGGAGGAGAGTATTGTTAGTATTATTGTAATTTGTAATCACATTTTAATGTAGTAATCATTAGTTAGACAAGTTTCTTTTTTTGCTTAACGTATGTTGAGTGTGATTTCATATATTTGGTTGTGTTAAGCAATATGGAGTGTTTTTCATGTACTTAGAAAGAAAACTTCATCATGCTTGCTTCTCCACTCTCCCCTATATCATAGAGAGTATACATGAGTACTCATAAGAAAAAAGTAAAAATGAATATGAACCAAGTAAACATAACTAAATATGATATGTGACAAAAATAGTGGATAGACAAATGATAAAAAGGAAGAAAAATAATAAGATAGAGGGAGTTTATAATTTGCATAATTTCTCTTCCTTCTATATAAAACTCAATCACATACATTTATTAACGATAATGTCAAGTCAATTGTAAAATTAAAGTTTGTATAAAATAAAGTCTTCATGTCCTTTAAAAAAACTCTTCATGTGTTTCAAAAAAAACTCTTCATGAGTCATGCTACAATCACATCACATGTGACACCAAAGTTGATACCACCAATTTTTATAAACAATGATTTCTTACTTTGTTTGTAAAGTTCACATCACATTTTCTCTTTCAACAATTTTGACCACTTCAAAATTCAAACCTTTCATTATTTTTTGTTCAAAGAATTTAAAAGAGAAAATAAAAGGAAATGCTTAGGAAAACATATTTCTTGCTGGGTTAGTGAAGAAAAAAAGTGAAAGGAAAAGACAATTAGAAGAGAAAGTAAAATAAAAGGAGAGAAAACCAAATGTCTTCCATTTTGATGAGGAAAAGGTGAAAAAACTTTTTCTTTTTCTTTCTATTTCTAATTCCTTGAACCAAACATAACATTAAGAAATGAGCTCTTTGTCACGAAAATATTATTGAAAGACGCAAAGGAGAATACAAGCAACGATAGTTGGTAGAATAACAAGAAGAAATTCACAATTACAGAAAATTGTATTTCATTTTTGGCAAAGTGTTGCAAGATCATTGAATAGTAATATTTACAAAAGCTTAAACTAATGAGCTTTGAGTGAATATATTCCCAAATGTGAGCACTTTTCAAGGCAATGGCTCTTGCGAATCTCCAAGCCTTGACGGGTGAAGGTAAGCATTTGTCCCGTAAAGTAGGGCAGAGTTCGATTTTGACAGTTCGATTTTCATCCAAACCAAAGACAAAACAGAAGGTAAATTGGTGATTCGGTTTGGTTTTGCATAAAAAATATGTAAACCATTGATTATTCTATTCAGTTTTATACGGTTTTTATTCCGGTTTTTTTGGTGTTTTCGATTTATAAAAGTAAAATTTTATAAGCATTAAAAAAATATAAAAATACTAACTCGATGAAGGAATAACAATATGTAGGGTTGGATTTGGTTTTTTGGTTTGATTTTTATACAAAACAAAAAATCGAACGAAAGGTTGGTGTTCCGTTTGGTTCAATTTTACATAAAAAATATGTGTCAAGTGCCCAATAAACTTCTAGGAGATTCCAAATACTCCCAAAGACATCATATGTAAATACTCTCTCCATCCTAAGTACTCTTGTAAAATTGAACCAAACGGATACTGAGGCGGCAAACCGGGTGATTCATTTGTAGATTCTAAATACTCCAAAAGATGCCATTAATGAACCTCGAACCAGCTAATTCTTGGTGGGTGATGAAGCTCTCAAGAAAAGAACTCGGAGCTACCAAATTTCAAATGTCCAGAATTCTTATGGTTATTATCTTTATGAGTACCAACAAATCTGGAGTTTCGAGAAGAAAAAGAGTCCGTGAAAAGGACAGGAGCTCCCTGCTGCTGTTCTGGAATAACCCATGATTGGTTAGGCTGGAACTCAGGGGAAATATAGAGCTGGAATCACCGAAAGATTGGGAATCTTCAAACATTTATTTATTTATTTGTTTATTTATTTCTCTCTACTTTAATCAACAAGAATTGTTTTCCCAAAATAGGGCTTTAGATCTATCCTATTTTTTGGAGGGAAGCTTTGACATGGGATTCACATGCACTAATTATAGTAAAAGTCATTGATGGTCTGGGCCGCTCTCGGTTCTCCTCTTTTCACTTCTCCTCTTCCAGACCTTATCTGGTGGTCAGAATGTTGAAATTGTTCCTGCCTATCCTTCCGCATGTGTTCAAGTAGGCCTTCTTGGTTTTAGGCTGATCACCAAGGGTCCTCTCAATGCCTTCTGAGGTCTTGAACTTTAGACATAAATGTTTGAGGGATAGGGTCTCTCCTAGGTCCTCTAACCCAGGCCTCCCCAGAATGGCATTATGGGCGTACTTGATGTCGACCACCACAAAATCCATTTACATATGTCTCACCTTAAGATGTTCACCTATTATCACATCCAACTTAATGGGCCCCTCCGGCTCAAAAATGTCTCTGGTGAAGCTAGACAGAGGCATACTAAGTTTGGTGAGTTCCTGCTTCTTGACTCCGAGATGTTGGCCCGCTTCCCAATACAGCACATTAACATCGCTCCTTCTATCAACCAATATTCGTTTCACAAAAAAATTATGAATGGCCATAGAAATTACCAGGGGAGTCCTGTGCGGGCTAAGGATGAGCGACAAGTCCTCATTTGAGAACACAATGGGTTCTCTCTTTCCTTTCCTGGCAATCTGACCAACATCAATGGATCCCACATACCATTTGCAAGCCCATTCCTTCCTCTCCTTGGTGGTGATTCCTGTCTCTGGACCGTAAAAAATGATTCCAACTGGGGGGAATCCTTCCGGGTTCTCTTGGGCTTGTTGTGGTTGGGCATCCCTACACCAAACATTGCCTGCTTGGTTTGGTTCTTGATTTGATGCTTGGCCCGTTTCCTTCATTCGGTCCTTCATTTTCTTGATGAACATGCACTCTTCTGTAGCGTGTCCAGTCTTTCTATGGAAATTACAGTAGAAACATTTACACTAAATAACACTAAAACTTAAGTCATTTTTCTAAATAGCACTTAAATTATTTTCTTCCCTAAATAGCACTTAATAATTTTTATAATTACCAGTTATAGCAAATATTTACTTGAATAATGACTAATGGATACTGACTAAAAGTGCTACATTGGGAAAAAATACATGTAGTGCTATTTAGGGAAAGTCATTATGTTTTAGTGCTATTTATGTAAATTCCTCATTATTGTATTTAGTTGGGTCATAGGATCACTGTTTTCTCTTCTGGTCCCCACGTTTTCTCTTATGTCCACCCTCCTCCTTACCCTTAATTTCTTCCACTTGGGTGGCCTCTCCTAGGACCAATGGCTTGAGGGTAAGGATGGAGATGGTGGACGCTTTAGCCTTCTTATTCTTTTTTTCCCAGGGTTTATGCAAAGTCCCCTCATTCTTGGTTTTCAAGCGATCCTTATGAAAAATCCAATATGTCGTTATCTTTTTCATCATCATCGCCACATCTTTCCATCTTCTTCACATTTCGTCTTCTTCTCCAGCCCCTCATCCCTCCTCTTTTCTTCTTCTTTTTTTGTTTTGTTTTGAATTCTATGTCATCTCATCCCCTTTTTTGCTTCTTCATTTTCTTTTCTTCTATTACTATTATTATTTTATTATTTGTTATTATTATTATCATTATTTATTTTTTATTATTAAATTTAACAAGTAGTTTTACTCCTCTAATCGTTTTAGCAAAATAGCACTAAGGCCCCTAAAAAAATTTGTATGCCCCCATTAACCTTTTCTAATCTTCACTTGAAATAAAAAAAAAGTTATGTACTCCATATAATTTATAAAATTAAGATTGGTTATTAACTAGGTTTTAAATTATACATCGTAATTCATAATAATATTAAATTCAACACTATTTTTACCTTCTCATAATATTTTTTGAAAAATTCAGAGACACTTACTCATCTTTTTCTTGCCTCAAATCCTCTCGTTTTCTAGATTCACTACTATTAATAGTGACTGTCGATGACTAATGCGTGACTAATGCGAAAGACAACCTCTAATGGCTGCAAAACTTGAGTTGTGAAAATTACTAATAATTTTTTTAAAAGCCAATAGTAAGTGTTATTTTAAATAATAAGTGTTTTGTCTAAATAATAATTAGTGTTATTTTCTTAAAAATGGAGTAAAAAACAACTAATTAATTTTTAATAATAATAAAAATAATAATAGTAATAATAAAAAAGAAGAAAATTATAAGAAATAAATAATGTTTAATATGAATTAAAAATAATATGCAATTTTATTTTTCTAAAAATGTGCGATAGTAAAATTTCTAATGATTTCTTTTAATTAATAATAATATTAATGATAATAAGTGTTATATTTTTACAGAGTAATCAAAGGGTTGCTTTTGCAATACCGCATGAAATACTTAATTGGTCTGTGGCTCAATGTAAGTATGTCTTGGCATTCGTATCATTAATTTTTAGAGTGTTCAATTCGAATAATTGGATAAGAAAATAAAATTAAATATCTACGAAAATGGAGAATCCATTTTTATTTTTTTTGTTTCTTACATTGTTATATGTATCAACTTTAATGCTCTGGCCATCACTTTTCCTCTTCTCCATACAAAATTAAACATATGTAATTGATGTTTTAGAAAAAAATAAATATAAGCATTTAATTGTTTAATTCTTTGTGTATCATTTTTCTTGAAAATTAAAAATACCTTTTTGACACGTTATATTCTTTAGTTAGGCAACATAGGATTATAATAATATAAGAAAATTTCATGCCAACATTTTCTCAATGAATAAAAGAAAGGATAATAACATAAACATAATACTTAGCCAACAAAGGATTAAACGACAACAGAAAAACCTGAGTTTAAGTAATGAAACCCAAACTCTTAGAGTGCAAATTATACAAAATAGAGAACATTAGAGAGAGGCAAGCCATACGTAGCACAATGTTTTGTACTTAGACAACACTGTTGGTTCCCTTGTTGTGTCTTAGTCTCATAATTCTGGTGTTGGCTTTATTTTTGACAAAAACCATGTGTTGTAGTTTATAGTATTTATTGTTTGTCCTAGCTCTGTGGTTCATAGAGCTGTAGCATCCTATCCGTCACTCTCATAGTCCAAGTGGTCCGGGTCCGAACCGAATAATGCACAGCCCTAGTTGTTGCACACAATTATTATGGATGAAGTCAATGCTAGCAGTGTAACGCCCCGAAACCTGGCCCAAAAGAATTAATTAAATTGTCAGAGCAATTGATTACGAATTGGGCCTAAAAAGGGGTTAAAATTATAATTTGGATTTTAAGCCCAACTTTTATGTCATCTTGTAGGAAATATTTTTGTGATCGTGTCGGTTCAGACGGCTTGTGAATCGGAGTTACAGGGCTCAAGTTATGACAATTTAATCAGGTATTTTGGATCCGAAGCCCAATCCATTTTGGAATGGGACTATTAAATAAACCTAAACTAATTTCAGCCACAAAACCCTTATCTTCTTTCTTCTTCCTCTTCCCGTTCTCCTTCTTCCTTCTTCTTCTTTTTCTTCTTCTTTTTCTTCTCCTTCTTCTTCTTTCTTCTCCGTCTTTCCCGTCCAGCTTCACCGCCAGGTCCAGCCGCCGTCGCCGAGACTCCAGAGCCGCCGTCGCTCGCCTTCCCCAGCCTCGCCGCCTCATCGCCGACGGATTGCAGCGCCGCCACGCCGAGCACCGGACATCGCCTCTACTGCCGGCGTCCTTCCTCGCCGTCGAGCGCAGCGCCGCCGTCGCCAAACGCCGGACGCCGCTGTTTCGCCCTCGCCGGAATCGAGAGCCGTTGTCGGCCGAGCTTCCAGCTGGTCGCCGAGTTTCCAGCCGGCGTCGCCCTTTGCACAGCGGCCACCCGCCGCCGTCGAGTGCAGCGCCGCCGTCGATTGCAGCACCGCCAGTCGCTGCTCGCCGCCGTCGAGCTGCCGCTCCGCCACTGTCGCCGGCGTCCGTCACTGTCGCCGCATTCGGCCGCTGCCCCGAGTTGATATCGCCGGCAGATTAACCTCCACGCCGGATTGATTGGTCAATTTCGTACTTTGACTCAATTTGACCCGTTCGGTTGATTTCGTTGATTTGTCTTCCGTTCGAGCTATCGATTCAATTTCGACGTAATCCAGGTCCGTACTATGAAGTTAATAGCATTCAGAATCAATTTAATGGTTTGGATCGTTATATGTGTTTATGCTATAATTTGGCTAAATTGGTTAATTGAATTAAATTGATTGTTTGAATTGAATTGTTGAGGATTGTGAATTGACTGAACAGGTTTGTCTTTGACTTGGGTTAGGTCCTGTTTGACTTGGACTTTGAC